TCTTTCTGATATAAAAAATTTGGCCATTACTCCTTTGGAACTACTTGCCAACTGTGGATATACTCCCAGTGTTTGCAGGGAATTTCAGAGGAAGTTAGAACTTCCCCTGTGTTTGGCAACACTGACCACTCCTGAGAGACCCTGGCCCAAGCCAGTGTCCCCCTTCGTTAGACAGTTTTAGAAGGTAAGGCTCTTTAGGGAGAGGTTAAACTTGAAACAAAAGTGAAAAGCACTTTTAGCCAGGGGAAAGTGAATTCTGTTCACTCTTCTCTTCTTTATGGATTTCAGGCCATATTTGCGTAAAAATATAGCAAAGCCATCCTGATTTCAGGCCATGATATGGACACTTTTCATAAACAGATGTGCAACTCTAATGTGATGACTTTTATTTGGGGATATTGTGAGTGGGAGGAGAGGGGTTAGTCAAACAAGAGATTGTTGTTTTCTCTCTAGAAGAACATGTTGAGAGTGAAGGAATGGCTGTGATTTGGGGGGGCCGAATCTTTCACTCAGCAGTACAATCACAGAGACAGGAAAGTAGCTACAAACAGATTGTTGGTGAAAGATTGATGGCTTAAATTCATCATGTGTCAATAGCACATTGCTTTCTGTAGCATAATACATACAGATGGCTGATGTGAGTATTTTCTGTGAGTTTTGCTGTGGGATACGAATGAAGTGGGAAGGAGGTTTAGGCTTGAGGAGAGAAGGAAAAGGCAATAAAATATTCACTCATGTTTCCAGGCTTGGGAATGTTTCCAAGGATAGAAAACCAGAGAGTAGAAAGCAGAGTACCAAGAAATGATCTTTTAAAACCATAACTAAACTTCACTTAAGTTCCTAAAAGCATCCCAGCTCATTCAAATATTTATTTTTATTGAAAATATGGTTTTTTAGCAGGTATTCTAAATCTGAATACAGTTGTTGCCTTATCAAGTCCTTGGGAATTTCCATATGGAAGTCATAAGAAACTTTTCATTCAAAGGTTTAGTTTTTGAAAAAAAGGTACATTTTAGTTTTTCTTTTGCAGGATGCATATATAAAATACCCATTTCATATGCATGTCCATTACAGCTTCATGTTACTTAGTGAAGGCTGGATTCCCATCCTGTCTTCTTCTCTTCGTAGGATGGCACTAGAGAGATGTTAGCAGACTGGTGGGACAGGAATCTAAAAACCAAAAATCTAGATAAATACCTGACAGTTCTCTGTATTTTTAATAGAGGTACTAAGATCAGAATATTTGGAGTCAGAAGTATTTTGGGAAGTGCAGGACATAAGGTCACCTTGAATATGACTCTTCCTGTAGACTTCCATCTCCTCCCTCTGTATTAAGCCATTTCTTAAAATATGGGAGCCATCAGTCCATTCAACAACACTTTACTGAGCATCTACCACTTGTTTGGCACTGTGGCAGTTACAAAACCAAGCAAAACATGATCTCTGTGTTTAGGGAGCTCGAGGATTGGTTGTAAAGTGATGAATATTATGTTTAGATTAGGTGTCTCAAAACATTTAAGCCTAAATTGGAATTATTATTCAGAGCAATTAATTTTGGAGGGGGAAAGCTGTACACTTATTTGCTATTTCTCTCTCATCTTCTAACACTCTTTGTAGCTGACCTTTTCCTCATTTTTATGTTTATTAATGTGGTTAATGCTTTGACTTTTCTTTTCTCTGTCAAATACTTCCAGAATGGGTCTGAATGAAACCTTAGTCCCTTATGGTATTACACAGACGAGTTTGAACTGTAAACTGTAACAGTCATTGAAAACAGAACTGTATTTCAAAAATGAATAAATTAAGTTCTACCTGTTATAAGAGCACACATCCTGTATATATCTTTAATCAAGAGTGAAACTGAGGGGCCGGCCCGGTGGCGCACTGGATAGTGCGCCGCTTGGGAAGCACGCGGCGCTCCCGCTGAGGGTTAGGATCCCATGTGGAGACCGGTTCCCGCTCACTGGCTGAGCGCGGTGCGGGCGCGACA